AAACATTATTGTTGGTTTCCATAGTTTCATCTAAATAAAAATATTGTCAAGTTTTAACACCTAATCTCTTGTTAACGATTGAAAGTGTTCTACGTGATTCAATAATTAAAAAAAAAACAAATGCGTTGTTTATTAATATGGCTGTACAATATACCAATGCAGAATATACCGATATGTTACTGACATTAGGATTTTGTGAAGGAAATGCTCGAGAGAGTGTCAGGGTGTACTCTGAACGGTTTCCAAATCGTCGTGTACCTTGCCACCCAACTTTTGCTGCTGTTGAGAGACGTCTTCGGGAGACCGGTTCCTTTACTCCCAACACTGTTGATAATGGAAGAGAACGTTTTGTAAGGATTCCTGAAGTTAAAGAAAACATTTTAGAACGTGTTGAAGAAGATCCAGAATTAATCACCAGACGAATTGGAAGGGAACTAGGAGTAAGTAAAGATGTCGTTCATAAAGTGCTTAGAGAACAATTGCTATATCCATACCATAAGAAGCCAGTACAAGAATTATTAGTCCATGATCCTCAAATTCGTTTGGGTTTTTGTCGATTTGTTAATATGCAAAGAGAAAGAGATCCAAACTTTGTCAAGGTTCTCTTTACCGATAAAGCAGGTTTTACAAAAAGAGGTATAACTAATACCCATAATGAACATGTTTATGCCGTTGAAAATCCGCATGCAATAAAGGTAAACCATTTTCAGCACGAATTTAAAATTAATGTGTGGGCTGGAATAATTGGTAATTTCATTGTTGTCATACTTCCACGTAGATTAACTGGAGAAAATTATTGAAATTTTCTACAAAATACGTTGTCAGAATTGTTAGAAGATTTACCTCTCCAACTTCGGAGAGATATGTGGTTTATGCAAGATGGAGCTCCACGACATTTTTCTTTAAACGTTAGAAACCACTTGAATGAACAATATCCACACAAATAGATAGGCAGAGGTAATGACGCACCTGTAAACTGCCCACCACGTTCCCCAGACCTAACACCGATGGTTTGATTTTTATGAGGACATCTGAAATCCCAATTACGAAATGGTTTGGCAATCATTACGTGATCGGTATGATGACCTACCCATGCTTGTCGATTTTAATTTAGATGGTTTGTTACAATTTCCCTCCTTAACTAAAGAATGATGGGCGTACTTGCGCAATATGTTGGATACTATCACAGAAACTTTATTTGCGTTAGAAAACTTAAAAATTAACACATATTCTTGGGATTCGTTTATTGTTTATGTAATGAGCCGAAAATTGGATCATAATTATTTTCGTAGTTGATAATGATAGAGTTGAAAAATTTTGAGAGAAATAAGAAAAAAGATGAAATTAAAATAATTTCAAATCTAGGCCTTTTAAGTCATTAGTAAATTATTTAACTCTTTACAGCATGTTGACAGGTAGAAGTTCTGGGAAAAAGATAGTATTGCTCTGCAAAGAGGTATCATTGTTGTTGTCATCAGGAGGAATGTTACTTCGAAAAGAAGGAAAAGCTGATGGTTAGCAGGTAGAGTTTGGTTACAACAAAATAAGACTTTGGGATTATATTGGAGGTTCAGAGATGATGAACTTATGTTTTCAATTGATTTTCCCATGAAAAAGGGCAAAAGCACAAAAAGGTCAATTTTGTCAGAAGTATCGAAGATATTTAATCCGCTAGGACTTGTGGACTTTGGGCTGAGAAAAGAGGTTAGGAAAATTCATTACCTTTTTCTATAAACTATGAATGGCAATTTTTACGAAAGGAGTTTATTCATCTTAATAATTTTCGTATATCTAAACAATTAACGTATAAGAAATTGAGTAAGATACATGGTTTCATTTTCATGCTGGTCCACAATTACTATTATGTTCCATTAGGGAACATTTAAGGATTACGGTTGGTCGAAATTTGGTAAAAAGAGTAGTTCATAGGTATGGAACTTGTTTTAAGGCTAAGCCGGCTCCTGCATGTCAGCAGTTAGGTAACTTACAACTTACCTAAAGATAAAATACAACCCACTCCTCCATTTTTAATAATTGGTACAGATTTTGGGGTTCCTCTTTAATTAAAAACAAGTATGGGAGGGGTAGCAAAACTATTAAGTGTTATGGGTGTATTTTCATATGTTTCTCGACTAATTCTGTTCATTTAGAGACAGTCTCCGATTTAACCACAAACGCATTTTTGGCTTAAGATGGTTTATTTCACGAAAAGATAAACCATTATGAATTTGGTCAGAAAATGGCTCCAATTTTGTTGGTGCAAATTCAGAATTAAGGGAATTGACAGGTTTTCTTAAGAAGATTTCAGAATTATTAACAGGTTTGAGGAATTAGAATGAAAATTCATTTCTGCCAGCTCTTTACACTTTGGGAGATTGTGGGAGGCAGGAGTGAAATCTTGCAAATACCATTTAAAACGGGTAGTTGGAAACTTTTGAAGATTTAGCTACAGTGCTTGCACAAATTAAGGCAATCCTCAATTCTTGTCGCCTCTCCCAATTATCTTCCTCTCCAAATGATTTAGATGTCCTAACTCCTTCAGATTTTATACTGGGCCGACAACTTACCTCAATGCCAGACTCAGATGTTTGAGACATTTCTCTCAATAGACTGTCACGGTATCAGCATCTCCAAATGCTCTCCCAACATTTTTGGTCAAGATGGTCGACGGAATACCTGACAGGTCTCCAGCATCAAAGTAGTGAAGAAAAGAAGAAACTAGTTTAAAAATTGGACAGTTGGTGATTCATAAGGAGAACAATTTATCGCCATGACAGTGGAAGATGGGACGAATTACGGATGTGGTACACGACCAGATGGGTTCTTATAAACGGGCGGTAACAAAAATCTGCCCCCTTCCAGATTCAGAGTAAAATTGTTTTTGAAAGTGCTTTTCAAGGGGGGGGATGTTGGGTATTTTTATATCTTTTAGTTTTTAGCCGTTTCACCTATCAGGCTCGAAGGACCATTTATGTAGGGGATTTCAGTACCCCTAATTATTAAAAGTCATAACTAACTCTAACTATAATTTTATTATAAATAAAATACCTTACATTAAATTGATTATCGAGAAGAAAGAACACCTTACATATCTCAGACTTTAAATTCTTAAATTACTGTAATAAAAGTATTCGGAACTTATATTATTTATTAAAATAACTAAATAACAGACAATATGGAAAATATCTTCCAACTTCACTGGATCCGTACGACTTTTAAAAAGTTTTACATTTGTGCAATATTTCGTTTTAAGAAAACAAAAATCCAGGACCCACTTTATTAACTGATTTTGCAACAATGTCATTTCCCACTAAATTCGCATAAAAAATTGTTAGCACTCTCATTTTTATCACAAATCGTCAAAAATCTTTTTGAATGGTTCAATTTATTAAAAGAGTCTGTGTCGCGGATGAAGCTCTGCCACTCGAAATGGAGAACAGCGCCACAAAAAAGGGAGATCGTCAATATAAATCAACTTTTCTAACATCAGAGGTGTCAGGATATAATCCTTAAGGATCAAAAGTTCCCCCTTTGTGAATATTTTAATGATAAAATTAAATGAAGTGTACCACAGCGAGCCTGATAATTTTTGTTAAAAGATTTGCTGTGTAACACGTTTTGTCGAGATGAAAGGTTAATAAGGCCGTATTTTAGTTTGTTGATATACAATTTATGTTTTGCTTGGTTATGCTTGTTTAGCATTAATTTTGTTAAACTAATTTCTTCTGTAATTCTATATTTTTTTAAGATACACACATACACCCTCGCGTATGTCCCTGTAAGACTTTCGATTGTTTTTATCGCGAATTTAAAAATTTAACACCAAAAATTATCACATTCAATTTTCTTTATTGGAAAATCCATTAAGAGCTGCCAATAAAAAGCGAATAGACATTTTCTCGCTTAGGGGTTTATAGCCCACCCGTTTAATGATGATCGATGATGACTTGGTGAAACTTTATAACACCATCAAAGGCAACATGACTTTTAAATCGACACCGAAAAGAATAAAAATGGAAATGCAGCCAGATCTATACGTATATCCCACCTTATACCGATATCAATGGCGAAACTATATTACAGATGTGTATATATACCCGGGATATTGACTGATTGATCCAGTGTGGGATTTTGCATAATACAGGCGTTCGAATTCCCGTGAAGATTCGAGAAAATTTTTCTTATTTTACGCCAGAAGTATTTCCTTAAAGAATAATGCGAGTACGACAAGAATTATGGATTGGAGTTGCTAAAAATAAACATATTTTTGACGATAAAAGTATTAAATCTTTGACATTATATATGCTGGTCGTTACTAAATTTCAGATTCTAGAAATATTTTACTGTAAAAGTTTCAAACTGAAAATATAGTTCGTATACCTAAATTAGTTATGAATTTGACATGTCGCAAATTGACAATTGAGACTACAGTTTATTTGAATTTGAAAATGCATGATAGCATAGTTTTTATGACAAAGGTCTATATATAAACCTGGAATACAACACGGTGCTTTTATTTCGGCCCCATGGCAACGCATAGTAAAGGTATTGGTGGAAAGACGAACGCAGCCATACCTAATAAGACTAATATGCAGCTACCTTATGTTATACTTAAAAAAAATAAAAATAATCTTACCTTCTAAAACCACGATGGTTTATTCAGCATAACCTGAAACAAAACAATTTTTAGTATAGTATAATAAGTATAATTAGTACAATAAGGTAAAGCTAAATATATCTAACATTTAAAGTCTGCCCGATAATCAAGTACAGTATTAACTATTGGGACATTGAGGGGCATAATGGTGGGTGGGATTTTTCTCACCTGTAAGTCAAATGGCACCATCAATCATATATAAGTCTTTCTCTGCACAAGCTCAGTCTGCTTCTAAGGTTAAAATTCATCCGTTCCTTATTTAGGAAATGGCGCTAGAAAAAGGACGAAACGGCATGGGTTTACAGCAGTTGTGACTTTAACTCAATTTATTGAGGAGCTGAAAATGTCCAAGATATCCAAGGAACCACCGAAGAAGAAGAAAGCAGAAATAGTCAAACATCAATTATTTTCCGAGAATGAAAGTGACACTGAGAGCGATGAAATGGACCCACCCTTGAATGATGAGAGTAGCTTCGAGTTAGACGAACAACGTTCTCTAAATGGCTTCACCAATAAATGCGCGATTGCCCATGTGAAAAAGAGAAGCTGGTTCACAGTGAACTATGAAGGAAACCTCTTTTCTGAGCTCGTCATAAACCGTGTGAGCACAGAAGTGACGGTAATATGCATGTAAAAACGACAAAAATATTTCCGATGGCGCGACAAAGAAGATAAACGTCTTACATAGAAGACGAGAGTCATATGATTATTAACGAGCCAAAGGCATTGAAGCGTCGCTTTTTTGATGTGCCCGAATTGGCCACCTATACCACAATATGAAATATTATTTTTTTTTGCTTTGTGGTACATTAAACCTGTTTTTATTCTTATATTATGTATTATTTCAATCTGCCCTCATAAAAATTTCACTTTGCCGACAATATGGCTTGTAAAGTGAAATTTGCACCTCCTCAGATTTTTAATTATTTTAATTTTAGTGTGAGTAGGTTCGCGGTTCTTACTTAATACATTCGAAACGATAATAATGTAGATATCATTTGAGCATAAGTTAGGTTTTCTGAGTGCACCCACAAGATCACAAGACATTTTCAAACGTTAATGATTCCCCTTCCTCTACCTTAAGTTTTTTAATAATACGAGTATTATTATTTAAGATTACTGAGAGACGAATTGCCTATTTTATTAGAAAATATTTCACTAGAGGTACGCCGTAATATGTGGATACAGCAGGATGGCTGCCCAGCACATTATACAAATAATGTAAAAGACTTTTTAAATCAACATTTTCGGAATAGGTGGATTGGAAGAGGTAGTCTATTTCCATGGCCACCAAGATCTCCCGACCTCACCGTATTAGATTTTTATTTATATGGTCGACTTAAAGATTTAGTTTACCAAACTCAGCCTGTAAGTAGAGAAGATCTAATTCAACGAATACAAACTGAAATTGATCATATTCCTAGGGCTGAAATAGAAGATGCTGTCAATTCAACTAGACAGAGACTTGATATTTGCATTGAAAAAGATGGAAAACAATTCGAGCACTACCTCTAATTCTTGTATTGCATTCTCTATTTTGTTCTGTGTTTAGTTATTTGTTTTGTTGTATTTTATTAATATATTCAATTTTTATTTCGCAATTAGTTTTATTAAACCAGTAAACTTACACTAAAGAGTTAATTTAAATCCGATTTTAATATTTTTTGTTTTAATCGCTTTACAGTTAAGCTATTGAAAAATGACTGACGTTTCAAAGCCAACTAGATTAAAATATCAATAATTTTATTTATTAATATTTAAGTGGACTATTCACCATTAATAGACTTTTGCTTACATTCGGTTAGGAAAAAGATAATAAGACGCGGTTTTTTTGTTTCTTGTCAGAATTTAATTCTCTTTCTAAATAACGTATAAAAATTATAACATTCCATTTAAATTTTTCAAGAAAACTTAAAAAAAATGGTTACTGCTTAAACAACGCCACGTAGTACTCTTTTAAACAACTGAATCAGAACTATTTTGAAATATTTTACTAAACAATCAATTTTCTTTTAATCGATATAAAGTTTTTCAAAATCTGATAAACGACACCGTAGTTATAATACATTTATTAAATTAAGGTTCCCAATCGCCCCTACCTGTTATTTTATTGAATAGAGCAAAAAGTGTTGAATAAAACTTTTGTAAAATTTAATCAAAATTACCGTTCGATTATTATTATCATACTATTATTAGACATTTATAGGGGAAGTGATTTTTTTGAATTACCATAGCGAATTACGCCCTCTAACGGTTAAAATAGAAAGTTCAAAATAATTTCCAGCATTTTCTCTTAACCGTTTTTGTTATAATTTTTTTTTTTTTTTTTTTTCGAAGCCGTAGGATCAATAGTTTCTGAGATACAGCCACTACGAGTCCTTAATCAGACACCCTGTACGTTAAGCGAATTAAAGTTTTTTAGTTGTTTAATCTCCTAATAAATTATTAAACTAATAAATTATTTACCATTATTAAAATTACCTAAACATTTTTCCTTTTCACTTTTATATTGCTACGGGGTGTTTTACAAACCCCGTCAGCGCAGTCACTACCAGAATGAGATAGAGGAGGACACAAAGAGATGAGATTATTAACAAAAACATATATTTTCCACAAACAAAATTTTTCGCCTGATCAAAGACCCCAGACCGATGTCCCATGCAAGAATTACTCCGTGTTAACTCTGAATGCCCTAAAGTCTTTTCATATTGCCTAATAGCTTGGATTATAAAAACTGCTGATAATTAAAATGTTTTGTTAAATAAATTTGTCAATGTACTGGGTATCTGAAATTTAATTATTTAAGTGATTTATTACTTAAATATTTTAGAACATAACAATATAAACACTTTGCAAGAAATTTAGAAACTTTTAGAGCATTTAAGGTGTATATAGTTGCTACTTTCCTCTACATTTGCATCTTCATCGAATGTCAAAAACAGATAGCTAATCCCTAATCATTATCTTCCTCTTCTCTTAGAAGTACGGACATTTCGTTTGTTTATGAAAAGTAAGAGTCTTGTTCAAGGTTGCAAGGTCTACTGATTTGGCTATTGGTCTACTGATATTAATGTGAATTTTACAGAAGAAGAACCCGTTTTATTATCCACTCGACTTATGCATTCTTTGGACGAGCCCTGTCAGCTTTTTCGAACGCAACGTAGCGGGCAGCTAGCTGTTTTTTTATAACTTTTCTGGAAATTTCTGGCAAAACCCTGTGTCCATTGCTTGTATTGTATCGTTGTGTGTTGTGTTTCGACTATCGAGTTATCGAGTTACATACCATGCAGTGTAGGCTGTTTGTCATACTGTCATACATTGTTATTGTTATTTTATTTTTAATATTTAATGTTTATTTTTAATAATGTCCCATTTTTTAACAAACTATTTTGTAAATAGTGCTTATTGGTGTTTGATTTTCTATTCTTAATATGATTTGGTTGTTAGTTTTTATAGTTAACATTCTAATGAGTCAAAACAGTGTAAAATACGTATAATTAAGATTTACGCTAATCCAAAGAGAAGCCACTGCACCGTTAAACATTTTTTGTTCCTTTAATTAGGCAACTCATTTGGCTACTGATTTCTACTGAATTTTAAAAAGGCATTATACTAAAAAAAAAATTATGGTCTTGTTTTGGAATCCGATAACGCCAAAAATACGAGAAGGCCTTTGAGAATGGATGTTCATCTTTTCCACTTAATTTACTTATAATTTATATTCTTTGTTCTTGTAGCTTATTATTAAAATGAAATTGAGTAAATTACAATCCAAGTTTAAAAGGATTAATCAAGTATATTCTACATTTACAGTGTTATAAAATTTCGCAGTCGATTTGTAGAAGCATAAACTTTACCTTCCCAATCTATCAGTTTATCCTTCCTATATTGGAACAATGCACCCGCCAGTTTGTAGTTTGTAGATGGAAAGAACACGGGCTTAATGCTTGGGCTTTGGTTTCGACATTTGAAAGCTAACATGTTCTTGAGAAATAGAGAAGTGCTCTTAAATTATATGCAGTCAAGCTTTCGTATGCTTTTATAGAGTAAATTTGCAATTGGACATGACGACTATAGCCCATTTCTTGCATCGTAGGACCAAATTGGTTTCAGAATGTCTTCTTTATGGATTCTCGTCTTAGAATACACAAATATTTTTTCCCGAAAATAAATCGAAAAACGATTTGACTCCAAACAGTAACAGACAGACAATAAATCAAGAAAAACTGTTTATAAAAAATTAAATGCTCTATTTAATAGCTATGTATGCAACCAGTAACGAAATGACTTATTTTATGTAACAAAATGGACAAAATATAATTAATGTTGTATGTGAAAAGCACGAAAGCATTCGGTTGTAACAATAGCGACGGATTTTTTGAATTTTTTTTTTCAATCACTTTTGAAGCAATTTTGCCCAGTTTTATGGGTCATTTTAATTAATTTGATGCAAATTTATAAGAATTCTGCATTAATCTAATAAGAAATAAAAAATATCATTATTCCTATACATAAACACAGAATATTTACATGTGTAACACAATAATAATTTTAATTAAATTTTACAGTCCAAACGTTTCAGGTCTTATTTTAACAACAGCCATTGTTTCCAAATTGTTAGAGACCTGAATCACATTTGCACAAATATAAATTAAATATTTGCTCGCGTTGCAAAAGTGCTGAATGCACCAGAGACCAGAAGTCCGTGTGAGACTTACCGGAGCCCTTAAAACAAACGCAGCGCAGTTTTAATGGATACATGGATAGGGAGCGCTACAATACAACAATGCCAGCTGACGGCATGGAACAAAAACTCTACGTGAATTATATTTTGAAAATGTGTAATAAATGTTTTCATTTCATAATGGTTCTGTATGCACGTGAAGATTCATGTAAAGAGTTGTTTTAATATGGTTATCATGACACGTGTAAGCAGTGGTGGCGTTAATTGTTTTTAAATTATATAAACTCCTGGACAAAATTAACGCACCACTTATATTTTGCTCGATAATCTTTTTTTATTGATAACTTACTGTACGACAAGTAGGCCATGGACCTTGTTTGATAGTGACAGTTGTTTTTTAAGCTAGATAATGTCACGAATACCTTGTTTTGACAGTAGTTCGTATTAAACCTCGTTTTAGACTAAAACTGTGTTAACATTTTCTTAAAAAGTGCTGATTAAAGCAAATTTTCTGTTAGAATCAAGCTCTTGATTGTAATTGTTTTTATTACATGTATGTTTGGAAGTTCATTTGGGAGAATATCAAGTAAAAAAATTAACCCTCAAAGAAATCTGTCACTGGAGCAGGCAGTGCGAGCATCGACTCTCCTGAATAAAGGATATTCAATGCGATATGTTGCTGGTTTGTTAGGAAGACATCATTCCAGCATCAGTCATATAGTGAGGCGACATAATTAAACGGGTTCGTACCATCGAAGACCAGGACAAGGGCGAAAGCGTTGCAGTAATCAAATTAATGATCGTTTTTTGAGACAACGTGCTCTTAGAGACAGAAGAGTAACCAGCAATCTGCTTAAAAATGAATTAGCAGATGTTCGAAATATCGCTATATCGTCTCGAACGGTTAGAAGACGTTT